ATCCATTAATGATAACTGCTATTGATTCATATGTTAACTATTCATAAAATATTTTAATGAGTAACACTTTTCATTGTAACAACATTTCTCAGTCATTTTATTTTTACCAAAAAAGAAAATGAGAAAAACTTACTCAGCCTGATCGCGTAGTCCGTGTCTGACCATTTGATTGATAGCGTAAACGTCAACTTTTTTCGAAAGTACTTGCAAATGTTTAACATCAAGACAATCGTTATTTGCAATATTATTTTTTGCTAATTCTATCAAATTTTTAAACTCTGTTGAAGTACTGAAAAAGAACAGAAAATAATTGATGCAATGTAATGGTCAAGCTTGACCAGCTAATATTTCATATTACAAGGTAATCTTCCTATTTTTGTCATTACTGTATCACAATGAACTAATTTATTCATATTCAAATATTTTGAAACATTCTTCTTTAATGATTTTTAAGGATATTTTGGAAAACGCTAATTTTTACTATAACATAATTTTTTTGATCATTTGAAGAAAAAAATTGTAGGAAAAAAATAGTATTGTAAAATTTTAAATTAACAAAATTTGCCTGTTTAATCGATGTAAACTTCTTCGTTCCATGCATAAACAAAAATTTTCCGGAATGCCAGCATCTTCGCAAGTTCGTTCCTTACTTACCACTTCATCCATTAAACTAACACCTCTACCTAAACAGAAATTAAAATAAATTCCATTCTATTCATTAATTTAATTTTAGTACAATTTTCTGGATATGCTCTTAAAATTTAAAAAAAAAAAAGAAAAACTAAGTTTTTTTTTCGTTTTCAAAGAGAAAAAAAATCTTCACCTTTAACACCATCACTAATTATTACTACTTTTGTGATTATCAAAATTAGCCTTAATGACTTGTGAAGGAGTTAGATTTATTCAATATCTCTCTAATTATCAGACAGAAATTACCTTTTTGATCATTATATGACCGATTTCGTCGAAATTCTGCCCGTGTAATATCCTTCAGTGTTTGGTGTATGTCAAAATTACTCGTTAGTCTAAACTTTCAAAATATTTACCAAATAAACTTATAATAAAAGATTGTTTGCTTACTATAAACTCTCCTCCGGAAATCTTCAACAATTGTTTAATGC